GAATCAGAATGAAAAACATAGTAACAAAATGAAACTCGAGGAGAGAGAAATCGACTTCTTTGACTTTTACTCAACGTCCAACGTCTGCACGAACCGCGAACGTCCGTAACCATAATACTATAATAATAGTATCATAATACTAAAGTCTTAAGAAGCATTCCATTTACGTATCCCTACTGTATCAACGACACGTTAATTCTCTTCGTTATCATTAATCTTCTTCACCTATATTGTATAAAGTAATGCACTCGCTCGAACGATAAATTATCATACTTACAATAAGTCAACAGAGGAAAAATAAAACGATTGCATAATCACACCGCGTTAAGTCTCATTTGGCCGACGAATTGCACGCTTTCAAAGAAAACCGCTCTCTATATATATCACCTTTTGCGTGTCGACGCTTTAAAAAGTACTGTCATTTCGATCTGTCTCCATTGTTAATCGTTTATTGCAATTCTTACTTCTGGCAAATTGTATATTACAACTGTAATATCGTCAAATGTTCGCCTCTGCACGCGTAGCTCTAAAAGGCGTACGAAGAAGGCTGTAAAAGAAAGCTAGAGACACGAATCAGGCCCTTTCGCGAGGGGCCCTCTTCCCCCACCAACGACGCGTCGGCTATGTGGAGGGGGAAGTCCCAAAGAAAATGGACACGAGATGATTCCTTATGAAAGAATAAAAGAAAAATGTGGAATACAATTTTTTCATTCGAGACTTAGTTTTCGAGAAAATCGAAGTTGAAAATCCATTGCGTACTTATGCAGTAGCGTACATAGTGGGTGTTCACGTTCGATTTTTTCGGAAGCTACTGCTTGGATCAAAAAATGTTGTTCTTTATTTTTTTTCAATTTTTTTATGAGGAATCACTTTGGACTGTGTATAAAGAAGGGAGAGTTTCTTGTGAGTTGGCAGTGTCGTAGGAGTGTTATATGAGTTGCGTCAAATTATTATAATATTCACTTATAATTTGTCAATTGGATAAAAATTCTACACAACAATCATCATTTATCGTCGTTTCGTTTTCCTCTCCGATCACACAACGATCTCTCGATCGTCGTATCTTCACCGAGAAATATTAATCGCGTAAACTTCGATCGTGATAGCGACGATGATATCACTAGCAGCATTCCGTGTGTTGCCACGGAAAATCCGTCAGAGTATTTTTGGAGTAAATTTTGCGTGATTCAATCGTATACACGATCTCAGCAGCAGAAACGTGTCTGATTTTGGCGGACGTGCCAGAAAGAACTTGACGAAACTCGAACCGTCCTTTAACTCGATCTGCCACGCGTGTCAGAAACTTTCAGCTACGAGCTACTACGCTCGGCACATTCGAAATCAGCCTGAGAACTTTACACGCGTCGTTGGAAAGCCGGTCTTCCATGACGCAGAGCCTTGTAGCAAAATTCTCACATGATCGAGTTTCCTGACTGTCCGACAAAGTATCATTGTGAATTAACAATTAAACCTTCATTTTCCTGTGTTTCTGTCGTTTAGAGATGCTCGGAACATTTAAGAATAAACATTTTAATAAATTACTCGTTTATTTTTTGTATTAAAACTTCGTTTCCCTGTGTTCACGAAAGGGTTAAAATAGTATCGATAATAATGAAAGCATTTCTACACGATGATAGAGAAGTCCATCTTCTGAAATTCAATTGAATTTTTCCACGTGAAAATTAATCTGAATGAAGCTGATATCACTGTGCACGAGTACCATTTTTCAATGTATTACTGAATTTCAAAAAATAAAAAAGTATTGTACAAATGTAACATCGAATTATTGACTATTCTAAAAGAATATTCGATCCTACAAACAACTGAAACTATTCTATTTCAGAAGTAACGTGATCGTAAAAATTCCAACAGTTAACACGCTAAACATTTTCAACTTTGATATTTATATTACGTATCTGAACAGAAAATTTCGTCAAATTCTATCGAGTAAAATAATTACAAAATTTGTATTAAATATTCACATATTAATCTAGATTAAATAAATTTTAATATTAAATTTATTAATTCAGTAATATTTCATTTCCATTAATATAGATCATCTCGTGACTTGAGAAAAATTGTAAATCGTGGCTCAAATTCAATAATATTTCTTTTCCATTAGTATAGATCATTTGAAAAAAATATATATAAATCACGCGATTGAAATATTCTCGTATAATCAACAAGTGTTCTGTAACAGAGATAAAAGAGAAATTGTAATGCCTGGTTTTCAACGTGCTACGAAACAACACTTGATCCACGAAACACAGCACACATTCGTCCATCGAGCCAACCATGTTTCGCGTGTACCGAAATGAGAGTACTTTTTACGACACTAGTCACTAATGTGTATTAAAAATGATCAGCTGAACACGTATACGTAACATAAAACAGCGCAACAAGTATATTATTTCGCCGCTACTCTACCACGTAAATTACTTCCACCTTTACGTTATAATTACACAATATACGCAGGATAATGGGGTTATACACGCGCGGTTCCTGCGATACGCTATGTCGCCAAAAAACAACGTTCTCCTAATGCAAGGACGCGGAAGGAAGGTTTGCGACAATAACAGAGCTAAAAGCTGTTTGCCGTTTCGTTTTTAACATACACGACTAAGTCGATCGGAGAACGGAAACTAACCGTGCTAAGGGAGCTCAACGGAAGAACAGATTCTTTGTCCACGAGACGCAGGATTGTTTGCCGTTTTACTTGATTTCTCATTGTGTTCGCTCAGATATACGTAAGTGTATGTTGTCTCTTTAGAACTTTGACAATTGGAAATTTCGGTGCAAAAATTGGATATATATGTATATTTTTTTAAATTCTA